GTCGTGGTAGTAGAAGTACACGTAGAATTGGGAGTAAGATTCGAAGTAGGAATAGAAGTAGTCGTCCTTGTCGTCCTCGAAGTTGTAGTTGCAGTTGTAGTAGTAGTAGTTGTGGTATGTTGTGGTAGTAGTAGTAGTAGTAGTAGTCGTCGGCGTCGTCGTCGTCGTGGTGTGGTTGTAATCAGCCCTCCTGGTCCTCGCTGGGGCAGTGGCAGTGGTAATGGCAGTTTTCGGACTAGTAGCTGTCGTGTCGTTGTAGCCGTCCTGTGTCACGGCGCGGATTTTGCATCCTACGGCGGTGGGGATTGTCCGTGGTCGTGGTGTTACCTGCCAGCCGCGTGTCTAGTCCTGGTTGTCATGGCCATCACGGCGGCCGCGCTTGCCAAAATAGACATAATCATAATGGTCACACCTGTCGTCGTTTTTTGTTTTTCTCTCCTTTGGGCTCTGATCTTCGGTCTCTCCCCTAGCCTCGGCTGTGTTAGTCTCAGCCGGCTGGCAGCAAGTGTCCTACCGAAAAATGAGCAGCCGAATCCCCAAGAAGTCCAGACGGTGAGCCCCCTTCCGGGCAAGGACGTTTGTGTTGACAACATTCGGCGCCAGCAACTTTGCGTGTTCGGTATCATGCAAGCGCACAGGGTTACGTGTGCAAGGGCGGTGCCCTCCCCGGCCCTAAGCCGTAGCCGCCTGCCCCTCCGCGAGCCCGTGGCGGGACTCCCTGCGTCCGCCTCCACCGTGGACGGGCCCTGCCCCCCGCTCTGTGATGTCTTGACTTCCTACAGAGACGGGTTCCCTATGCCCAGTCGCTTGCCACCATCCACCACTCTGGACCGAGCACAGCTCGACCCTGGCCAGTTACAAAGCAGAGATTCGTTTCACCCCCTCAGAGACGCGGTAAACACAAGATTGAGGAAAAATAAGGACATGCCCGCTCCAGCTGGACATGCGGCAGAGAAAAGGCGCGAGGAAAAACAGTTGTCACCAGCAGTGCCTTGTGACACACGTGACACACGTGAACGAACAATGGCCATTGCCAGGCCGTGTCGTTCTAAGATAGGATGCATTTTTTTGGCACATTCCACGTCCAACCTGTGGAACACTAAATCGGCCGATGCTTGGCGCAACATGTCGTGTCCCACTGACACATATGTCGGACATATGTAAAATGATCATTGAAAAACCTTCCAGGCCTGCCGGAAACTGTTTGTATCGCCCGCGCCCGCCTAAACATTCTATGGTCGCAGGGCCCAACAAGCGGCCTCAAGATTGCAGCGACGTGTTTTTGCGAACGCATCTTCAAAATATATAATTAACTTGCCCAACATTCCCCGGAATCGTGAATTTCCGATGAATGACACTTCCCGTGGTGAGGGCCGCTCAATCAAGATCTGACTCCGGCGGCCGCTGCTCCTTGTGCATCCCAGGCACTAGTGTGTGCGCGCGCAACTTTATTGGGCTCTGGCTCAACAGCCCTGCCAGATCCATAAGCAACCTGTGTGGATACTTGTTCGCGGCACTCGTGTTTTGCCAAGGAATAGTTTCCAGGGTTTTGCCGGCACATGTCCTTGAGACGGCTGGTCGGCTGGGAAGCGGCGCGTGGACCACGTGGACCCAACGGAAGCAAAATGTCAGGCGTGTGAAACGCATTCTGTGCGCCAGCTTGGGCATGCCACATGCTTCCATTCGCGGGACTCATGTGACATTGACGCAATTTTTCTAAATATAAACATTGGTTTGCAGCATTCGTTTTGCTAGGGCATGCCAGCGCGCAGTGTCCTGGCGTCGTGGCAAGACGCCCGTGCGTACAATTCAAGGCACCTCCAAAATCATCCTGATGGAGGTTGGGTGCATCAATGACAAAGGTTCAGCGGCTTGAACTTTTGTGGTTTCTGCCTGGACGAGGGTTTGTTTGGGAATCCGATTTTGCAAAGTGCCGTGCTGAGATTAGCGTGGTTGTGTTCCTGGCCTGCTCTCATAGGCGCTCATAGGTCATGGGCGCTTCGGCGCAACGAAGCTCTTCATCGGCAAGGTTGGTATTCTAGATAGGTGTTTTTTCCCCCACGGTGATCAAGTTAAAGGATGCCGAGGATGCAACCATATGCAACCTGAGTTATTGGCCGGCCTTTTTTCCTATTTTTTTCTAATTGATTGATTGCGAACACAATTGTTGTTCCATGCTCCGTTCGGCACGTTCATAGCAGCAGGGCGAACACAGATGAGGGCCTTGTATTGCAACCAATTTGTTTTTTTTCATGATGCACTCCTTGACGTGTGTGTTCGTGTAGTTGTTGCACCGAGGGCTCAAGTGAGTGCAGTAACCCCACTCGCAGTTGGATCGCATGTATGCTGATGATGGCGATGTTCCATACAGTGAACGCGAGGATTGGAAGGACAGGGAAACAGCATGAACCAGCTAAGACTCGGATGCCAATGCCCCAATACCAATCGACAAACGGGTTGCCATGCCCAGGATGTGACCCCAGTGCCACAAAATGATGGGCCACATCCCTTGGCGGTCCGGTGCTTGTGTGCTTGTTGGCGGCCGAGCGCTTTATTTTTTGGGGGCATTGAAACTGCAATGCTGGAGGTTATCCGCTACCCACCTGGCTTTGAGGAGGCGCGCCAAGTTCGGATCTTGTTTTCATTTGCACGTGTGCTTGTCAGGTGCATGGTTACTTCCGCGCGATCCAACAGAAGAATGAAACCAGCAAGAGGGCCTTGCAACTCACAGCTGATGTGATCCAGCACAACTCTGCGAATTATACAGCATGGTATTATCGCCGACGGTGCTTGAAGGAACAGTTCATTACTGAACCTTCAAAACTTGCAATGTTTGCCACGTCATTGTTGCAGGATCTTGCCATTGAACTCGATGACGAACGCATTTTCACAGACAAGTGGGCCAGAGACTGCCCCAAAAACTACCAGGCACTACCAAACGAATTTTTCTAGTGAAAGAGCGGTGTGGCACATCGTGACACTGGCAGTTTGCACTTGGCAGGTGTGGTATCACAGAAGATGGTTGATTTCAGAGATCTCAGCGCGCAAGCGAGCAGAACTCAGCCCAGAAGAGGCGGAGAAGGCGATCCAGTCAATGGCAAGAGAAGAGCTACAATACCACTTAGTTTCATGACTGCACTGGAAATGTGGCTCAAGACAAAGGGAAATGCCCAAACATTTGAGCAAAACAGAAACATAAGGCACACACGCATACACATGTTTACTTGGTTTCACAGCTGCCCCGCAGCGGCGCGTACTGAATGCGTGGGCTTTGCATATTGATGCTGTGTGCTGTCCCCGAGGATTGCATGCAGGTAAACAATGACTACAAAAACTACAATGGGTGGCCCGGGTCCTGGTCCAAAGTGTTTGAGGATTTGCAGTGAAAAGGGGTAGACAAATCGTGTTCAACCCTGCCACAGCTAGGTCTCATCGTCAATTTATCTTGCAGCAGTTCAAGCTGTGGCATGAAGAACTTCCTTTTGTGGAGCAGCTTTTGAGAGAGGACATTCGCAACAATTCAGCATGGAACCACAGGCCGGGTTTCTGTGGTTTGTTTTTCGCAAACATTTGTGAATACTGTGAGGTTTTAAAACAAAACTGGCAGGTTCACCGTGGTCCGCAATCAAACTTGGCCACTGACCGATACAGTGCGGACGCGGGAGATCAACTTTGCATTGGAATCCATCCGAAAATGTGCGAACAATGAGTGCGCGTGGAACTATTTGTCCGCCTTCCTTGGCGAGGGTGATGGAAAGGTTTGATCCTCAATGTGCAGTACCCACACGCATCACCACAGGCATGCATGCTTTGCAACCTGGGAAATGGCAGGGGGACTTTGAATTAGTTGGGTCAATTTGTTGCATCGTTCTGCTGCATCGCCGGTCAATTACTGAGGTGTCGTGGACCTCAGTTCCAGAAGTGGAAACACTTTGCCGTGAGGTGGATCTCGCTAATGTTTGTTGCCACAGCCGTTAGCACAATTGTAGTCAAAACACACCAAACTCCTTTAAGATCCGGTGGCTCCAATCTACAAGCGATGGCCTCCAACCTCGTATTGATGGCCTCCAACCTACTTGCGATGGCCTCCAACCTACTAGCGATGGCCTCCAACCTACAAGCCATGGCCTTCAACCTAGAAGCGATGGTCTCCAGCCTACTAGCGATGGCCTCCAACCTAGAAGCAATGGCCCCCAACCTAGAAGCAATGGCCCCCCCAACCTAGAAGCGATGGACCCCAACCTAGAAGCAATGGCCCCCCACCTAGAAGCGAAGGCCTCCCAACTTAGAAGCAATGGCCTTCAACCTAGCGATTGTCTCCAACCTAAGAGCGATGGCCCCCAACCTAGACGCATGGCCCCCCAACCTAGAAGCGATGGCCCCCAACCTAGAAGGAACTGCCTCCAACCTCTAGGGATGGCCTCCAACCTAGAAGCGATGGCCTCCAACCTAGAAGCGATGGCCCCAAACCTACTAGCAACGGCCTCCAACCTACTAGCAACGGCCTCCAACCTAAGAGCGATGTTGCGGCCATTGGTTGGCAGGTTCTGGATGTTGCTGAGCAGCAGCACACCTCGTGCCGCTTTGCGTCACAAGCTCTCGCCGACATTTTAGAGGCCAAGCAGCAGTCCAGATTGACCAAGAGATGTCAAAAGGAATGAGCAGGACAGTGGCTCTATTCTTGAAGCTCCCAAGTGTTGCCAATCTTGCCAATTGTTTTCAATGTAGGCAGATGTTTTTTTGACAGATTTGGTGTAATCTGGACGCACGTGTTACGCAGGCCAAAGGCGATGTCACAGCAGCAGTGGCCCAGTACGAGCATTTGCAGGACTGACGTTTACGTGGGGAAGCCGGGCAAGCGCATTCTGCAGTATTCGTGTGACAAACAGATCTTGTGGAATGACAAGACCGAAGACCTCTCTCAGAAACTTATTGTGAAAGCAGCTTGGTGGTCAGTAGTGGGACAACGTACCAGTAGCAGGGGCAAGAGTAGGAGTAGAAGTAGGAGGTGGAAGTGGAGGTGGAATAGGGCCGTAGTGAGCAACAGCAGCCGACGGAGGAGGAACGACAGTAGAAACAGCAGCAGAGTAGGAAACATTAGGCAACATAGCCTCTTTTTGCTTTCAATTTTCTAGGCAGAGCGCTCCTGCAAAGAGACTTCGAAGTGTTTTTACAGGAGATTGACCGTATCCGAGAGAAATATTGGCGGTGGAAGGCTGTCATCCCAGCAGCCTTTGCACTTGCTCACTATGATGTGTTTCTTCCTTTCTTGCATCTTTCTTTTCAGCTGCAAGTTTTGCGTGTTTTACTTTTGCACACGCACATTTTTCAGCCTTCAGGCAGAACTTCTAAGACATAAGGCAGGCTGAACCCCGCCAATAGCACAGATAAGCTCGCGGAAAAAAGGCGACCTGTTAAATTCAATGTTATTCCTTCAAGCAGCAGCAGCTCTTGCTCACTGAGCCACATAGCAAGCAATGGACAGATTGCACAACTGATTTCAGGCTTCAGTCTGTTCACTTTTTTGTCGAACACAGCTGACGGCTGACGATGGCAGAAATCTTTGGGCTCGAACGAACGGGCCAACTGTTTCGGGCTGCGCGCCGGGTTCAGCGACGGCTTAAGCCAAGCCATCGCCCAAACCCTGTGCCATGCCCCAACGAGGTGCGAGAATGGCTTCTGCTTCCTCACAAGCTGCTTCAGTCGGATCCTGAACTCTCCAAAGCTTGATGTATCAACTTCGGGAGAGTTAATTACTGTACCGGGAAAGCGAATTTGAGTTCATGTCATTGTCATAGCAAGGACGCTACTAGGGGCTCCTGGCCGTACTACTAGTTACTAGTAACAAGAAGCTACTAGGAGCATTTTCACTGCCGCAGCACCAACAGTTTGATGACTTTGTCACACGGGATTGGGAGTCCAACCTGTAAGACCTCAAGGACTCCTTGACACAGTCCAAGACTCCATAAGACTCCTTGACAGAAAGAATGTAAAAGAAACATCCACCCTAGTAGCGATGGCCGCTATGGCCTCCAACCTGATAGCAATGGCCTCCAACCTAATAGCAATGGCCTCCAACCTAGTAGACCTAGTAGCGATGGCCTCCATCTACTAGCCAAGGCCTCCAGCCTACCAGTGATGGCCTCCAGCCTTCTAGCGATGGCCTCCAACCTGGGCCTCCAACCTAGTAGCTGGCCTCCAACCCAGCGATGGCCTCCAGCCAAGTAGCGATGGCCTCCAACCTAATAGCGATGGCCTCCAGAAAGAATGAAGGTCTAAAGGCCTTAAGGTCTACAGCAGGAAAGAAACCTCGAAAAAGGCTCAAGAATGAAGGAAGCTCCGTAAGACCACAACATTGGGTGGTCCACTTCAGGTCGGTGGTCTCGCATTGGGTGCCTCTCGTGGTGCCCATCCCACAGTGCGCTTAGATTCCTTCTTGAAGTCTACAGATCCTTCCTATCAACATGCAGAGGCAGGATTGGAGAGTTGGAAAACCGCTGTAGGCATGCTTTTCTTGGAGGCCAGGTTGGAGGCCATCGCTAGTAGTAGGTTGGAGGCCATTTGCAGTGGAATGGGGAATGGCAATTCGCAGCTCGACACGTTTGTGACCGTTTGTGTGTGCCACTTGACACTGATGGCCGCACAGGCGCCTACGCAAGGTGATCGGTTCATTCGAAAGATGGTCACGACCTCGGAAGAAGACGACCCCAAAGCGCAAAACACATCCTTCATGGAATGTGTGATCCTGTGTTGGAAAAGCAGATGCGAGACTTGGGCCCTCGACATGACCTGGGGTAGCACAACCATGGCCAGTTCTTGTGAAACTCATTGGAACGTTTTGGTTTTGAGGCGCGGAACGTGGGGGTGAACATTTCCAACCTAACAGTAATGGCCTCCAACGTAGCCTCCAACCTACTAGCCAATAGCAATGGCCCTCCTAGTAGTAAGGCCAGGAGCCCCGAACGTAGCGATGCCCTTTGCTCCGTTCGTAGCTTCTTGTTACTACTAGTAAGGCACTTGTTACTAGAAGCGATGCACTTGTTCCTAGTAGCGATGCCCGTTGCTCCCAGTAGTAAGGCAACGTATGGTCAGATTCGGCCTTCGGTCAGCTTTGTGAGCGAAGCGCGGGTCGTCAGACCCATGAAGGAGCCCAGCGCGGCCTCGGAGTCGTCCGAGTCGGTGGCAGCGCGGAACCCGCCGCACATCGGCGGCATGAACCCATGTGAAGCAGTTTGCGAAGCAAACATTGGTTGATTCAACGACCTACTAAAGGATTGATTCCCATAGTTTGGAATCCTTTAGTTTGCGGGGAATCGTAAAGTTTATTAAAGGATTCCAACCTACTAGCAATGGGAACCTAACTGTAATGGCCTCCAACCTGATAGCAATGGGAACCCCTGTGGGACCATGGGCACAAAGATGGCAGAAGTTAGCAATTACTCCCACCTTTGCTGGTATAAGAACTAAACTCTAGATCGAGTTTATGAAAAAGCAACTGCATACATCTCAAGACCAATTGAACTTTCCAGGAGCAAGGTGCGCTTGATATGTCGGTGCTGCCCAATCCCATCATGGATCCTCGAGGAGATCCTCGAGAAGGAACCTTTGAGATTCCAGCTCCGCCTCCGGAAGTGGATGACTCCTTCATCAAAATGTGCGCTACACGATCAGACGACGAGAGACAGACATTAGAACCCGGGAACCCGGGAACGGAAGACTTGGATGACTTTGGAGGAAAAACATGATACTAGTAACAAGTGCATCGCTATTAGTAACAAGTGCCTTACTAGTAGCAACAAGAAGCTACTAGAAACAAGTGCCTTACTAGTAGGAACAGGTGCCTTACTAGTAGTAACAGGTGCCTTACTAGTAGTAACAAGAAGCTACTAGTAACAAGTGCCTTACTAGTAGCAACAGGTGCCTTACTAGTAGTAACAGGTGCCTTACTAGTAGTAACAAGAAGCTACTAGTAACAAGTGCCTTACTAGTAGTAACAGGTGCCTTACTAGTAGTAACAAGAAGCTACTAGTAACAAGTGCCTTACTAGTAGTAACAGGTGCCTTACTAGTAGTAACAAGAAGCTACTAATAACAAGTGCCTTACTAGTAGTAACAGGTGCCTTACTAGTAGTAACAAGAAGCTACTAGTAACAAGTGCCTTACTAGTAGGTACAGGTGCCTTACTAGTAGTAACAAGTGCCTTACTAGTAGTAACAAGTGCCTTACTAGTAGTAACAGGTGCCTTACTAGTAGTAACAAGAAGGGAACGCAGAAACAATGTTCGCTACTATCATGACGTCTCAAGATGGACATCAAATAGCAGTCACCCTGTCTTCAGCGGAAGCATGTTGACCCAGGTACCAAAACCACAGCTTGATGCTCCCCTCCGAACGCTACAAGGAGCATTTGAAGATGAAAGCCGGCGAGAAAAAGTGGCGGGAAGAGCGCGATGCCGTTTTCCGCTACCGGAAGCGAATGAACGTTCTCGAGCGAAAGCATCAAGAAGCACTGATCTCAGATGACTCCGCTTGAAAAACAATCTCTGATTGTCTCAAGTCTCTTGCACGCGGAATTGCTGATGCCGCGCAAGCTGAGGGAATTCTTGGCATTGATGGTCCTACACATCCAGATACCCTTCTGTATCGGGATCGCTTCGAGCACCACGCAGCACAGGCAGGGAGGTCAGAGTGTACCAGTTGAAACAGCTTTCGCCGAGCTTAGCTTGGCTGAGCTTTGCTGTTCTTTCTGCAGGCTCAACGAAAAGCCGTGAACGCTGAGAATCGCTTTACGGTTCTTCAAGACAAAACCTACTCAGATGATGCGGTAGCCATGCGGGATTTTGGTTCCGATCCTGGCTTGGAGCGTTCAAAGGACGGATCTAGGTCTTGGTGCCAACACGCGCTCACACATCAGCGTTGGTTTAGTATGTTCTTATATTTTTGTTTCAATTGTTTTCGATGTTTTTGAGTGTCAGTGTGTGGCTTCGCCTGCAACGTTGATATTTAGTCGTTTGATTTCGGTCTCTGAAGTCCCCTGCCACATGCCTGGCACCGTAAGACAGGACATTTGCATCCAGAGGAAGTGTATCGACCCGGAGCAGCATCCCTTTCGATTTCTGGACACACATTCGCGCTTGTTCCCCAAATATTCACCGGCCGGTGCCCTAGAGAAGGGGAGCGTGGGCAGCTGCTACGGTCAAAGATCGGCCAACAGTGGTTATTGATGTGCTTCGGCACTTGCAAGACGTGGCAGCTACAAGCAAGTTAAAGAACCAAGATCTAAAAGAAAGTTTCCGAAAGGTAACGTAGCACATGAAAGCCCAAAATACAACAGAACGTGACAGTTTTTGAAATGAAAAGAACAGCAAGTTAGATAAATATTGGTTTGACCTTTGCTAAGACTTGGGATCCAGAGCGGGCAGCTGCACTCCGGAGTGGCCACCTTAAGCACTGCGTTTTGCTCCGCGTGCTGCATGGCTAAGGAGGCCATGGCCTCCAACCTACTAGCGGTTACTAGCGATGGTCTCCAACCTTGTTTAAGTGCTCACTTGAACTGAGGCCATGATGTTCGTGTCCATGCCTTACTCTGCTGACTAGAAATCAGTGCTGACCACACAAGAAACGACCAGAAACGACCAGAAACGCGTGCACTGCATGCCTCCGAGCGAAGCACCGCCCAGGACAGGGGCCACAATATCATCAATGGTGCAGACAACACCCTGACCTATGACGTCGCACTTCCGTGGGCGGAGGCCGAACGGATGTCGCACTCGCACTCGAACGGAGGTCGCACTCGCTCCGTGAATGTCCGGACAAACACCGCGACGTACTTCGGTGCGAAAGGGTTTCGCGGAGACCCAGCGAACGATCCGAACACTGCAGACGTCGCACGAGCGTCGCGGATTTGTGTGCTGGCGTTTTCCTCAGGTTCAGCAACAAGCGGTGCAGCGCCGGATCGCTGAAGCCGCGAAGACTCAGAGCCGAAGTTCCAACAGCCACGAGATTTGACGCAACGCGAGATGCGAATTCCAACCCGACGCGACCAGCGTCCAAGTTGCCGCAGAGCGAATGCTAGTTGATGGCCTCTTGCGCCGAAAGCTGCCTTTGATGTCGAAGGCATTTGCCTTTTGTTTATACACACACACACACACCACAAAGCACATAACCCGTTTGGAACAAGATCAGTTTTGAGATTGTGTCAAGCACAGAGCCCGTCAGAGAGCTGACGTCAAAAGAGGCACGCTGGCTAAGTGGCCCGTGGAAGTAGAGCAAGGAAGGCATCATGCGATGTTTCACCAAGCTTTCACACACTTGCTAGTCACCGCTGATGCTGGTGATTTTGCGCTGCCTGTATCGCCTGTATTCCAAGATCTTGGCCGGAGAGATTGCCAATGCCAGGAGAAAGAAGTCTCAAGTGTTTTGTTGGGGACGAAGCATTGACAAATCTTGATGCAAACTATAAATGTAAACACACTTAGCTTGATTCTGCTTTCTTGTTACCAGTAAGGCCAGGAGCCCCGAACGTAGCGTCGCTCCCGTGGTAGTTGACACATGTTTGCACATCTTCGTTAATGTTGGGCCCGGAATCTGGAGTTCTTTGGCTCGAGCGCTCGGGCCGCAGGTCATCGCGCGGGCTGGAAAGACTCGGGTGATGAAAGGCTCCTCGGTGTCGCCTCGGCTCAAAGTGAAATGTGGGCGAATCACTGGGAAGGTTTTAAGATGGAAAGACTCTGAGGGATGGGTTCGACCTGACAAGCCGATTGATCATCCCTTCAAGCTGAAGAATCGTGGAGAGGTCTTGGTGAAGAAGCAAGATGTGGCTGCAGGACAGAACTTGACGCCAGGAACAGCTGTGGATTTCTTAGTTTATGCCGAAAAGACTGCCGGCGGTCGCTTGTGTGCGGAGTTCTGTCGCCCGGTGCCAAAGGTGAAGCCACCTGCAAATCCTCCAAAAGGAAGTGTTGGACAGGCCTTGGCCGCCGCGGCCACCTCCAAGTCGATCATCGTGAGACCGAAGGCCAAGGCAGTGCCAGCGCCAGTGAGGCAAGTGATCATCAAGGGAGCTACAGCAGCTACAGCAGCTACAGCAGCTACAGCTACGTTCATGAAGCCGGGTGCGAAGGCAAAACTGGTTCTTCCAAAGGCCAAGCCGGGTGGGGGTGGGCCTGTGATCAAGACCCACCTGAAGCCTGACCCAAGCAGTGGCAAGGGCAAGGAAACGGGAAAGGATGCAGCAAAGGCAAAGGGAAAAGGAGGGAAAGGACTAGGGAAAGGATGGAAAGGCACAGAAAGGCATGAGTCAAAGAAAGGAGACCGCACTGAGCTGCAAGGGCAGCAAGCAGGTGTTGTCGGCAGATGGCTTGGAAACTATGGTTGGATTGAGCCTGACGAAGCAATAGACCATCCGTCTGCCGGCAAACATGGTGGTAAGATCTTCCTACACAAGAATGATCTTGGAGGAAAAGTGCCCACGGAAGGCTGCAGAGTATCATTCTCTCTCTATGCGCCGCACTCAGTGCATCGCAAAATGCTTTGTGCAGTTGCATTAGGTTATATAACTTTAACAGCAATTAATAGCAATGGCCTCCAACCGAAGAACGCGATGGCCTCCAACCGAAGAACGCGATGGCCTCCACAGGAAAAACCTGCCTGAGGAAGATCAGAGTGGCCTTGGGGCCAGCCAATGCACTTTCGAAGATACTCCAAGAGGCACCAAGGGTGTGATCAAGGGTGCGATCAAAGGCTCATCCGCAGGCGCTGCCAAAGGCGCCGCCAAAGGCGCCGCAAAGGGCACAGTGAAGCCAAAGGCCGGAGGTTTCTGGCTATTCAGCTTGTGCTGGAGAGGGAAGGACTGCAAGAGACAGATAGGGAGAAAAGGTAAAGAAAGATGGAAAGGGACTGAGACAAATTTGTTTGATTGTGTTCCTCGATGTCCGGTTCCGTTTCTCTTTTCAAGTGCTAGCCCTCACTTTGCGAGGTGGTCATCCCGAAAGCCAGACCGGTGACAAGGCCTTGCTCAGCGGAAATTGAAGCAAGCTTTTTCCAACAAAATCTACGAACCAAAGGAATAGTGTGAGGTGTCCTGCGTCCTAGATAGGAGCGTCCAATATCGAATAGAGCTACTAACTAGCTTACCTCTTCTATCCGCGGCCTCCCCCCTTCCCGGGTACAAATTGAGAAAACGCCTGTCTTGGATCTGTTGCTGCCGTGACCCAGGAATGCTGTTGCCAAAGAGCCTCCTTTGCCGCCCTTTTGGGAGAAGCAATGGTCCGAAGAGCACAAGACTCCTTACTATTGGAACTACAAGACGCAGGAGCACAAACGCCACCCTTTTTTGTGATTGTTATGATGTTTGTTTGACCTTTTGTGATTTTTAATGCTTTTCATGCAACTTTACAAACAGCAAACACTTTGGTCAGGAGTCGGTGTGGGTCAGGCCGACCAAATAGTTGGTATCGCCCACTGAAGGCACGTATTGGAAGAACAATTTGTAAATTGAAATTGTATTGATGCATTCTTTTTTCATCATTGATTTCTCTCAATGGAGGTAAATATCTGGACATCATCATTATATTCAAGATTGAATTTTACATAAAGACCGCATGCATCGGAAATAATACATTATTTATATATATATATATATTTTCAAAATATATTAAATATATATATATATATATGATTGTAGAAAATCATAAATATTATATTTAGATATTTCAATATTTATTAATAACCAATTACAATATACTCAAATATCTATAAAAATTTATAACATTAACAATTTATACATATAAACATATTTAATATATATTGATTTATCGGTATATGGGGGATATATATATATATATTATGATGGATTTGTTGTATTTTGGGATGATATTATTAATATATTTATATTTAATAAATATATATTTATAGATATGATATTAATATATATGTTTAAATATAATATATATATTTTTAAATTTAAATATTATGTTTATTTAGGGAATAAATGAAATAATTTATATTTATAAATTAATTTAAATTTATATAATTCTTAATATTGAAGCATTTTAATTTTTGTTAGAAGAAATATTTTTAAATTCTAAGGTAGAATAATATATTTGAATGATAATTGCATATAAATAATTTATTTCTAAATATTTAGAATTATTTAATATATATATTCGAATGATTTTAATAAAGATTATATATTTAATAAAATTAATATAGATTAAATATGTTTAGAATTAATTTGATATATATTATTCTTTAAATATTATTTTATATAAATTTAAAATTAGTCTAAATAAAATTAATATGAATTATAATTATATATTATTTTATAAAAATTAAGATCTATGATAATAGAATCTCGATAGATTTTCTTGGATAATATATTTAAACTATATTTATATAAATACTATATATTGTTATATTCGATTATATAAAGAATATATTTTATATATACAAATATAGATTATATTTATATTAATAATATATATTTGAAATATATTTAAATGATAATATTAAATTCGATTTTATTATATTATTCTTATTTTAATTTATCTTAATAAATATATAATTTAATAAATATATAATATATATATATTTTTAGGGGAGATGGAAGATATTAAAAATGTGAATCTGCAATATATATACATATGATATCTGATCAAATAACTAAATTAATATCCTCTTCAATTTAATTAAATATATATTTAATAAAAAATTCTATTATTATTTATTGGAATTTGCTGAAGAATTTGTAATTTTTGTTGCACATGATATTGCAAATTCCCTGGCAGATTCAATCAAATTAATAATTTTAAATATATATAATTCCAATATATTGCCAGATGCAATAAAAATCCAAATAATCAAAATATTTAGGATCTATGGGGATTCTGGGGAATAATATTTTCATTTTTGTTGAATCTGCCATATTTTTGCAAGGTGGCATAGACAAAAAAATTGCAAATTTCTTGATAAACTAAAAAATATCAAATATTGATATCCTCTACAAAACCTCCATAGATCCTAAAGATTTTGAATCTATCAATTTTTTGTGATTGTATTGTTGTGAAATTTTTGTTTTTTTGAACCTGTCAATATTTTTGCAAGATGGGAAATCAAACAGAAAAATAGGTCCCGCTTCCAGGTCCTCTCCAATAGCCTGTGAGTTGGATGTTTTTTAAAACCCAAACATGTATTTTTTCCAACCTCAAGCTCGAAAAAATGCCATTTGAGAGCGGCCAAAAATGATGTTTCGTTTAATTGCATTTTTGTTCTTGCCCCAAAAATATGTTTTTTTTTTGAATTGGATTTATTACGTTTCGTTTGGTAGCAAATAAAAATTGCAAGTTCGACCTTTTCATGCGGATGTTGGGACCTGACCACCTCCTGCCCCATTAAATTGAGGTTGACCCCAAAATTGCGCGTCACTTATATACAAAATCAAAGAAAATTCTATTAGCATCTGAAGATACACATATCTCTGTTCGAAGGAAGGGGTGTTCAGCAAAACGAGAGGGAAAATCGTTAACGTTGTATTGAGTGGGAATTCTCGCAATTCAGAATTGCGACGGTTGTTCAGATTCAAATTTTAATTGAAGGTCCATCAAAGCGAGGGCAACTTGGCCTTGCGCAATACCATTGATTAAAATAGATCTTACTGCATCATCATCAAAATGAACCGTGAACCTTCCAAGAACAATATCATTCCAGAAGTGGAATGAGAAAATCGCAGCTAAAAATTCTAATTCTAGATGATAGTGTCCCCATGAAAGCTCCGAAAACATCGCAAAGATTGGAATGCATCGAGAATCCAAATCAGGCGAAACATTCTCCATTCTCTTCCAAAAAGGCGTTGTGTGAAAAAAATTGATTTTGGGGAGAAAATAACATATAGGTTTGTCAAATATATAATAAATTGTAGGATCTTTTTATAAATAATATATGGCACTAGATCGGCATTTTCGTTTTATAGGCACTAATATCGTGTTGATGGTTGGTGCAATTATTGCCTC